CCGGAGCTTGATGTCGTTTCTCTAGTTCAACCGTTCCCAAAAATAGGAAAACATGTATTTACGCTCGGAGCGGGGTCGACAGCGGACGAACTCGGTCCTAACGAAAGCGTGCCTCTTGATCCGAAGCACTTTCCCAAGCACTTGTGATCTTAGCAGAGTCTTGATGGATACACTACCTTGATGGATACGCTACCTAGTATCGAAGCAGAAGCAACACTTCGGGTGTGTTTGTCCGGGTGAAAAAATTTTCCACAACTTAATTTGATAGTGTGTTGGGCCAAAAATGCTCTTTGAAAGGACTTTAAAAAAGACATTGGATCCTACCAATTAAGCGATTCTTGAAACCGGCTTTAGACTTGATGCTTTTCTAAACCTCGGAGATGTCTTATTCCCACCAACAGAACGGTCAAACCACGAGGAGGCGGGGACAATCATTCGCTGCGCGAGTAACACGTGCGCTCGGCGCACGCGATCCGTCGGATCGCGTGCATCCCACTACGACCCCCGCGCGGGACCCGCACGATCCGACGGGCGATGTGCGTTGGGCCTAACTGTACCCAATAACTGCTCAGGAGGGAGGCCAAGTCAAACTCTCGACGATCGCAAAGTCAAAGGATTTGAACGAGTCGTCTTGGCACACGTCGTGGCTCTTCCTTTGTCCAACGAGAGTCTTCCAACATGCGAGGATTGTAGTCCTTGAAAAACCCCCTCCCCCCCCCCCCCCCCCCAAAGATTACCCAAAAAAAAAAAAACACAAAAATGGCGTGCCATAAATACTTGAAGAACGTCGATATTGAATATGACTCGCTTATTTAAATTAATGCTCGTTAAAGATTGCTATACACAAGGCTGTTCCTAGGAAAGTTATAAGCGATGAAGCATAAATTCCGCGTGAAGCGGGATACTATATAAACATGTTTGTCCACGAAACGATTTTAATATGACCGACACTCGTGCACAAATCGAAGGAGAAGTAAAGTTGGAGTTCGTTTGGTGCTCGTTTCTTTGGGAACAAGCATTCTGAAGCAAAAAAAAAAAAAAAGCATCGAAGACGGCTTAGGATGTCCAGAAGACTGGTCGTTGGCCAAGTCAAAATACATTGTTTCATCAAACAAATGAAGTCATGGATGACCATTCCTTCTCGATCCCCTCTCCTCCACATCATTGCTTACCCAAGATGAGGTGCACCAAACGTGCGTGCCCTCTTCTTCTTGAGCGTCGCCCTCTTTTCTCATCGAGATTTAATTTAAGCGATTGGATAATCGCCCCGATAAAATATCGAGTAGGATAAAAATAGTCGTATATAGCATTTAGAGACACCTTCAAGGTCGGGATAATTAAGCCCATATAAGTCCGGACATAATCCCAGATAACTTATCCGGACCCTAGGGATGCGATAAGCACCTGGACAAAAATAAAAAAAAACTTCAACAAAAAAATTGAAACAGACGAAGAATTCCTTATGCCCTGGGAACCCCCGGTTGTTGGTGTCGCTCGCGACCACCGCGCGGTGGTTGCACCTCTCCGGCGGCCTCGTCACGGTCGTTGCATAACTTTAATAAAAAAAAAAAGAAAAAGAAAAAGACTTGTCATTGGGAAGGGTCGAAGAGAAAGTGACTACAGTGCTCGAAATAGACATGACAACCAGACCCCTTATATAATTTGCAGTGTCCAAGAAGGTCCAGCATTTCTATAATGTGCATGGCACAGGAGATGTTTAAACTAATTCGAATTACGCGAATTTTAATTCCATAGTGGAAAATGCGGGAGTGCTCGCCGCGCGTCCACATCGGATGGACCCGACCCGACCCGCCCCGCCCCCCGCCCACCCTGCTTTCACGCAAGATTCCACACGCGTCTCATCTCGACCTCAAATCCCATCTCGTCCTTTACTCTCTTTTGTGTTTCTCTCCTCCTTTTTAGGTGGGATGAGATTGGAGAGCAAGAGCATCCATGCCCCGCGACTAGCTCCAGCCATTTCCATCGTCGTGGGTATCTGCATCGACCCCCTCCCACCATACCGTATAATAATAATAATAATAATAGCCTTTTTTTAATGGAGGTGTTCATAACGCGGGACCCGCGTACGATGTGGTCGGCTTATTTTCGATCCCCGTGCGATTTGGACGCATCGCTCGACTAGGATTTTTTTTTGTTTAGCCATAGTCCGTTGATACGTCTCGCGATCTATGTACTTTTTACCGTTTCGCTACCTAGTGATATTACCGCTCTCGATCTTATGGGTCGAGATGATGAATAGATCTTCACGGCCCGATTTAGTCTCCCGAGATCGAGAAACGTAAAAGTAGTAATTCCAACATGGATGGATGGCCTATCTTTGATAGGATAAGAGAGTCAAATTCAATTTATTGCTCGAAAGCCAACAGACTCACAAAAAAGTAAATACGGAGTACTTCTATCTAATAAAGGTAACGTATCGACCAAGTATGGTCTTCCCAATGCGATGGAAATAAGAGAGATATAAACTCACATTTCGCTCGCCACTTTGCATCATCAAACTTCTAAAACTCTCAATTTGCGATTTTTCATCTCGGAATAAAAAGCACATCGCCCACGAAAAAGCTCGGAGCACCCTTCACGAAGAAACCCTCTTGACAGCTGGCATCACCGGCGAACGCTAAACCCCGTATTCCGTGTTCGGATCGCCCATCCGGATCTGGACTCCATATTATGTGGTCCGCGAAGGTTGTAGGGATATTTCACGGAGCCGGGGCTCGCCCACTTTCTCTCGTCGCCAGAAAGCGCGAGGAGAACCAGGAAGGGAGGGAGGGAGGGGAGGGAGGACAGAAATTGGAGGTAAAAGGGAAATGCTCATCATCATCATCCTCCTCCTCCTCCATGGGAGGAGGTTCACGCAACTTCTTCTTGGGTAACCGCCCTAAGAGAGAATTGACCCTGCACGTCACCCGCTCTCGACGAACGAACAGACCACCTTCCGTGATTCGCAACTCCTTTGCTTTTTTGCTTTGGATAGGTTTTGGAGAGAGAGTCGTTCGAGATTGGCATTTGGGGTGGGGATAGGGATATTCGCTCCGTCCCCAAAAAGAGAAAAGGGAATCCGCAGCCGACCGCCGAGACTGACCCCCTCGCCGTCCACAGTTACGCCCGCCTCCCCCCCGGGACACAACCCCGCACCGCACGACCGTTAAAAACCCCCAACTTTAGGTGTACCAGTTTGGGGTTTTTTGTGGTCAAAAAATTAGTTCGGGGTAAATTTGTCAGTTTATGACTTTTTGTGGTATAAACCCGAATTATTTTAGTCTTAAAAAAAAACTACCAACTTTTACCCAAGTCACAGATCTGCCCCGTTAACCCTCCGTCCAAAATTTCTTGTTGGCAGCCGAGAAATGAAAAATTTAGGGTAAAATTGGAACCGTCCCTAAAGCTGGAGATTTTTTTATGAGACGGAAAAATTTTAGGGTAGAATTGGGACTGGACCTAAAGTTTTGGGCTTTTTTACGAGACAAAAAATGTTTAGGGTAAAATTGGGACTTGAGTTAGGGCATTAGGCCCTCTTTTTCATATCATAAAATTAGAATTTCTAGAGGACAAAGTTACACACGACACAATAATAAACATAGTCAACTCGAGATCCCTTCCAAACAAAGAGAGGCATATATAGATGAAAATGGAGAAATGGAAAAGACAAAAGAAAGGTAACCGGCAAGCCAAAAACGTGGAATGGAAAGATAATTTTTCTAGAGATATACTCAATGATAATGATAAAACAATAATCAAGTTTTGTGTAAACTCATTCTACAGATACAAGATCCAAAACAAATCGCGGTTCAAGTGCCCAAACATGTGACGGTTGGTAAATAATCTACACTCGTTCGTATTGACTTTTAATTTTCGAAATGCTAATCGACTTATCGAAGTTGCATAGACTAAAATCAGATATACGATTAGCGAAGACAAGATGTTCATGTCGTAAAAACATTTATATTGTTGTGAGAGGAAGAGATTGTAATTTGAGATTGGTCATATGTTTGATAGAAAACAAGATAATCGCCCAGGCAACCTCTTAGGCTAATGCCCACCTGTACGCCAAAAGACAAAATCGGGAGGCTCGATATGCGACGGGCCAAAGCGAACAACATCTCGAGTGAGTTAATCTAAAAGTGTCACATGACCAACCTCCCAAACGAGTCAACATTTCTTCTGACCGAACGATTATATATGGGATTCGAATTGTGACCAGATCACTTCCTAACCACCTTGAAGTAAAGTCGTAACCAACTCGGCCAATCAAAACCGGTAGGAAGGAGTCAACAATGTCCCGATTTTCGTTCAAAACCTCCAACGAAACATCCAGAATCGAAAAAACCGTAGACACGTCCTCACTCAGTACCGGCTCACGACCCATCGATTTCAAAGTAAGCAGGCGAGATCCATCGTCATTCCATCGCGAGGGGGCTAAAAGCACGAAACGCATATACCAGATATATATATACATATATACATGCACTTCTTCGGCAAGCAAGTCAGAGCTCGCGACGCTAAGTTCGGAGATCCCGGCTCGCACCGTCGCCTAACATCAGCATCGGTCGATGTACAATTTGACTCGATCTAGTTTAAACGGAGCGACGTCCAAGCCAAGAGGACGGAGTCACGTTCACGTACACACTTCCCGACCCACCTTAACGGCAATCCGACGCGGACCGCAGTCTTTTTGCCCGGCTGGGAGCCACCATCTCAATATTCGCATCACGGAATATACGCAAATTTTTTCCTCCTCCCCTTTTTCTCCTTTTCCCCTTTTTCTTTTTTCCACCCCTCCTTTCATTTCTCGAACGCAAGAATTTTCTCCCCCACCATCTTCTTTTATTTTTTTTTGTTTTTTTCGTACTTTTTCTTTTCCTCTTTTTTTTTTTTGTCCGTTTACGTTTTCCGCTCCTCCTCGTCCTCCCTGCTTCCCTTAAAGTGGCGGAGGAGAGGAGAGGAGAGAGAGAGCGGGAACACCACGCCGAGTCTCGTTCCGCTCTTCTGCTCTGCGCGACCAAGGTCCCGAGCTTCTTAGGGTTGTGCGCTCGCTCCTTCCCTCCTTCGCCTTCTCCTTCGTCCGAGATCTGCGCGGTTTCTGCTCTCCGGAGGGAGGTTCTGCTCGATGAGTTTGACTGATACAGGTGCGTCTCGGCTTCGCTTTCGTCGGTTTCAGATCGCCATACGGTCTTCCTTGGCATTTCTTTTTTGGGTATGGCTTGCCTGCTTCTAGCTGTTGGGGTCTCGCTGAAGTTGCTCGATGTCTAGAAGTATCTGCTGGTGGTGGGTCGTGGGAAGCTCGTAGTACGGGCGGTTGCGGTTGAGTGGTGTCGGTTTTGTTTAGTGTTGGGTCCGTGCTGATTTTGCGGCGTTTGTGTTGGAGATCTGGGTCGTCGAGCTTTCGATGCGATTTGCTTTCTCTGCTTTCTTATGCCAGTGGGTAGTCGGCTCCGAAGGATTCTGGTTGCAGGAACTTGCTTGTGCCGTCTCCTTTGCATGAGCAAAATTGGTAGATCTATGTTTGCTTGACCTCAAGCTTTGGCTGATGGACGCACAGGCTTTTTAAAATATGGGGAAGGCGACGGTCATTAGTATGTGTGTATGCATTTGAGATTTTTCGATAGAATTTCTTGCCCGTCTGTTTCCTTCGGAGGCGAGTGCAAACTACGAAAACCAGCTTGAAACACGATGAGGCTGATGTGCTTCGAATGAGCTATTTTTGAATTAGTGATTAGCCTTCGTTTCGCTCTTATGCCTGGGAGGGTTCCTTGTCCCTCCACTTTTTGATGTTTGTGGATACTGGCATATGTTTCTCCTTGGAGAACTGGATGGGTATCTCGCGTTAGTTTAGATTGGTCCTCTAGCATCATGCCCTTTCCAAAATTTGTGAGGTGATGATTGCTATCACTGAAATATATGCAAATCAAGAATTTGGTTGATCGAGGGACTGGTCATTTCTGCGGCCTTCTTTGTCGGATGGGGATTTCTTGTTCTCTGTTACGTGCTCCCTTCTGTACTTGCATAGATACTTAGTTGATGTTAACGGCACTGCCGCAATGCGACATATCCTATGTTGGTAATTGACTTAGCACTTTTTTCTCTCGGAACTGAAAATTACTTTGATCTGTTAAACAACTTCAAAATTCACCTTTTAAGTGAATATGCTTTCTTTTTCTCGTGTGCAAGTGTGTTAACTGCTATCCTGCATGTTAATTTGTTGGTGACATTATGGCTAAATGAATGTTCTGAGAAACCTGTATGTTATATCTGTAGATCGAATGACCTTGAATATGGCGCTAAACTGTGTTCATGTGCTCATTGTCTTTTTCTCCCATTTGCAACCAAGTTCCATTCAAAAAGCCATTGATGTACTTTTTTTTTACCAAATGTTGCAGAAATGGCTCCTCCTATTGAGACACCACAGAAAGTTTATGAAAACGATCATCCGTCCCATCCACCTCTTAATGAAAGGATTCTCTCATCAATGACTAGGAGGTCTGTTGCTGCGCACCCTTGGCATGACCTTGAGATAGGTATGCTATATCACTAATCTTCTTCAAATGTTAAATTGGTCAGGTGTTTTGCCTCTCATTTACAATGTCACTCTTTGAAATGTGATTTCGTTTCATTATAGGACCTGGAGCTCCTACGGTCTTCAACTGTGTAAGTACATGATATTGCTTTGCCTGATGCCCTAAGCAGTGATTGAATTTGTCGGTGTAGGCGTACGATGGTTGCATAGTTTAGACATTAAAATGATAGCACTGTTGGAATTTGCATTAGCTGAGTTGACCGTTCAAATATGTTCTTTGACTATTTCCCCTTTTTCCCGTCTTTTTATTTCCAGATGTGCTCTTTCAAGATCTTTTATTTGTTTTGACGGTTAACTTAGGATCATTTTCCAATTTTTGTTTTTGGACTGACGAAAGCAATGAAAAATGCAGTCACTGAAAAAAGTTTCTAGTTGAGGTATATGCATTCCGGGGAAAAAAGGTATGACATTGCAGACTATACTTTGCAAATGCAAATGAGCTTTGAGCACTCTGCTTTCTCGATACCCTGTTTCCACTTGCTACTTGTTTCGTTGCACCTTTGGCCGGTACATTTTATCACAGCGGCCGCGGTCATGTCCTTGAACTTACAAGCTTGTTTACTTCTAGAATAGCATGGAGTGCAAGCTACTTTCTATTGATATTCTTTGAGTACCTTTTTATTATGAACAAGATTGTAGACAGACGTAAATATATTTCATGTTTTTCGTTTCACCATGCTTCATACTGGAAAATGACTTGTACAGGTGATTGAAATTAGTAAAGGGAGCAAGGTCAAGTATGAACTTGACAAGAAAACTGGACTGATCAAGGTAATTGATCATGGCAAGTGAAACTTTTAGCTAAGCCTAGAATTCATGATAGTTGCTTATTGGTGTAAATCATGCAGGTCGACCGTGTGCTGTATTCTTCAGTTGTGTATCCCCACAACTATGGTTTCATCCCTCGAACTCTCTGCGAGGATAATGACCCTTTGGATGTCTTGATCATCATGCAGGTAAAATTTTGATGCAGAGTTAACCACAAAGTGCATCATCTTAGGATTTTGAGTCAAATGCCATGAATGATTGGAATACAATTGATGTTATCTATAGCATTTAATAATCTTAAATACAGATAGGAAATGGAGAGTTCATCCGTATATGTTTGGTATATAAATTAGACTACGAGAGCTTGTAAGTAAAGTAGCTGAATTTACCCTAATATTGACTGTAATACTTGACTCAAAGTGTTTTCAAACCTGAGTTGTAAATTTTTCATATTTGCATATATCTATATCATGTACATGTAAATGTGTTTGTGCCTTAATTTTTATGTATTTAGGACATAAGTTCGAGTCCAGTTTGAGCCCAAAGTGAGGTTTCATCATTTTTTAGTTCTTGAATTTCAGGTTGAGGTTTGTTCGAGCATATTCAGCACTTTTTGTTGTATAGAGTACTTAAATGAGACAAGTTTTAACTCTACAAACCAAGTTTGGTTGAGTTCAAGTCAACAGTTGATCCTTTATGATCGAGTCAAATTTAAAAAGTAACTCTGTTGATTTACTTGGCTTGATTTTAATTCTTCGGCACTTTTGAACTGTGTCTTGCCCTAAACTTTGATAGAAGCATCTTGGACTATCTTGTACAAGGATATGTATTTGTACTGATATGGCATGGCTTTATCCTACAGGAACCTGTTCTTCCTGGATGCTTTCTTAGGGCTAAAGCTATTGGGCTCATGCCTATGATTGATCAGGTAAATATCTTGAGGCTGGGGTGTTTTTGTCTCTGATCCAGCAATACGGTCATAACCTGACAATTCTTGGAATGCAGGGCGAGAAAGATGATAAGATAATTGCTGTTTGCGCTGATGATCCTGAATACCGTCATTACAATGATATTAAGGAGCTCCCACCCCATCGATTGGCTGAAATTCGTCGTTTCTTTGAAGATTGTATCCTTTTGCAACTTCTTAACCAGTTTACGATGCACTTAGCAATTTCAAGACAGTATTTTAGGTCTTTGGTGTCAGAAGTCCTTTCTTATTTGTTGTGTAGTCATTCCTTAACACTAGTTAGACAAGAAAAATGAGAACAAGGAAGTTGCAGTTAATGATTTCCTGCCTGCCTCTGCTGCCTTTGATGCAATTCAGCACTCCATGTAAGTAAATCTTCTTTCTCAGACATATTTTAAAGGAGTCACCTGCCACGTGCAAAGTGTATCGTGGTCTCGCTCTCTCTCTCTCTCTCTCTCTTCCCCCTTTTGAAAGGGGCGTATGAGGTCAACAAAATTGAATTGAAAAAGAAAGCGATGAGTATGTCTTCTTTTGGAGTCAATGACTAAAAGTAGATTCATTTACAGAATCTAGTATGATCTTTTGAGTTAGATTACATGAAGTAGTATCCATGTTAAGATGTTGATGATATATGTGTATAGTTGTGTGGAAATTCTACAATGTACAAAAGCTTAATCTGGAGGGGTTGCTTTTCCAAGTTTTGTAGGTTGTTGCGCATAACACATTGTGTAAATCGTGTATGCTAATGCTTCTTACGATGTATTTTATGCAACCTCTAATGCATATCCACCCCAAAATCTTATTCCTTTATCTCTGATTCTACCTTGAAGGAACCTGTATGCAGACTACATTGTGGAGAGCTTGAGGAGATAGATAGCCCATTCCAGCATTGGTGATGCTGATCTCCCGAAGTGACCCGAATACACAGATAATGATGATAGTAGTATACAGTATCTATATTTTACTATAGGAAACTGGGTATTTTGCTGTATGTACGAGCATTGTTTTCATGGTTCTGTTTATATTATGATGGTGGATTGGCTTTCATATGCTTTTCCTTCTTAAAAGGAAAAAGCAAACGGCTTGGCTTCTGTATTCTTTTTTTTTTAATGGAACTAGTATCTCAGCCTAGTCCTCTTGATGTTTTGGTTGATGCAATGGACTTAGAAAATAAGCAATTCCATGATGAACATATGTTGGATACTGGCCTTCCTCTAGTACTCTACTGCATGATATCAAAGAGAGAAACTCGTGACCGCCCCCATAGAATGTCGAGAGTCAATTGTTGATTAGCTGCTTTTACAAACTGATGAGGCACGAGCAGCATAGTGGTACTCGTATGAACTGTTTAGGTGCCGGATAGATGGTTTGAGTCCCAACTCTGGCACCCCTAAAATGGTTTCTTTCCTCTCTTTTTATTTTTTTGTCTTTTTTCCGTTTGTCGTTTTTTCTCAAAAATGATCGTTTAGCTATTCCATTTTTCTCTTTATTTTTTTATTTTGAAATCTGATTAAAGAATAAGTCTTTTCATTTCGGTATGGAAGTGTACTTCAACTTTTATCAATATGTTGTCAATGTTAAAAGGGTTAATATTATAAAAAATCATGAATTGGTACATCTGTGATAAATTTATCACGGACTAAGTTTTTGACTACCAAAAATTTCAAACCGATGTACCTGTGACAAATTTACCCTAAATTAACCACCAAAACCCTCAAATCGGTACACTTGGGGCAAATTTACCCTCCATTAAATTGGATTAATACCACGAAAAATTACAAATTGGTAAATCTATGATAAACAGATGTTAAAATCCCAAATTCTACACCCGTCAACTGTCACGTGTCATTCAACTCGGCAATTTAATGATGAAATTTAACGGACTCTAACGAAGAGTAAATTTATGACATGTGTTTTAGTTTAAAGTTTTTTTTTGGTATTAACCCATTTTAAAATGGGAAAATTTGTTCAAAAAGTCCTAAACTTATTATAATTTTGTCAATTCAGTCCTAAACCTTTCAATTTTGCCAATTGAGTCCTAAATTTTTTCACTTCTTGCTAATTGAGTTCATTCGGCTAATTTTGGCCGGAAATTACTGACGTGGACGCCGACCGGCCTACGTGGCGCTAATGTAGATAATTTTTAATAATAATATTTTAATAATTTTATGTGAGTCAAGGCTATCGGATCGTTTAATTGACCAATTGAGTAGCTAAGATCAATAACTCGTATTCTTTATTGGTTTTTTTTTGGTCGAAATAACTCGTATTCAAACGTCCATATTCATCGTCATTGGAAAGGGGTAATAACCATTCATAACTCCAAAGGTAACTAAATCCTACAAATTAGTATGAGCACTATTTAAGGTAGATAATGAATTGAATATAGAACGTGAGACACAAACTTCAGCAATGGACTGAAAAAACTTATGGGCATAAAAAACGTGTTATATGTAGGTATTGTAAAGCAATCATAATAAGCAATGACTTATCAAAGCACCAACATAGATGGCATATTCTTATGTGCTGTGGTAAATAGGTATTTTAGAGCATCAAAACAAATGACATAGTCATTGGGTTTCAAATGTGGTCGGCAGGCAACAATACGAATGGCGTGATATTATTGGTAGGTGTTGTCATATCGTGATTTACAGGCATACTGGTCGTGCCACATAACACGATCGTGATTGCTGATACCGAACTTTACAATGGTCAAATTACGTAGAGAATGGATTGAGATAGGCACAACATGTATTTCCTTGGACGGTCACCGCCTATCATCCGCCTGTCACTGGATAGTCTAATCGTGAATCCATCCAAACCAAAACACGCCACAGTAGTGGAAAACTTTTAGCCCAAAAAGAAATCTTCCACAAATCCGATTATTATAACTGCAAAATAACTTTTATCAGTGGAGTTTGCAGGCCACTTTCCAAAAAGCAACCGTTCAATAGATCACAAGTCTATTGCACGACTGCCAATTTAGTCATAAACTTTTCAAAGTCCTAAATCTTTTCATGATTTTTCAATGTAGTCCATCCGATCTACGTTGGAAAGTTTATGTCTGAAATGGCAACCGTGCAATAAAATTTATGACTTTCTAGGTAATTTTTTCAATTTAAACATCAATATTGTTTTCCTTATTTATTCTTCATGAGGTGCGACACTGGTACGACAATATTTTACCACACAGGAACGCCTAGTAATATCTCTATCTATACTATATACTAGCAAAAGTGTGCATGTGTTGCGTGTGTAAAAAAATGACATAAAAAATTACAAAATCTTCTTATAACGAAATATTTTAATTTTCAATTAATGAAAAGAAATTATTGGCACAATATGAAGAAATTGTTCATATATAAATAGAAAGAGAGAAATATTTCAAGAGTCGAACTATTTTACATTTGTAAGATTGTCTATAGATGGAAAAGATTTAAATTTGAAAGTTGTAATATGGGAACGATAAAATAGAACAGTTAATTATGTATCTGTCCAAGGATAAAATATTTATAAAATAACTAATCAAGGATATTTTGGGAAAAACATTTATGTAATATTCTTAGTACGAAATATATAATTGTTAACTAAACAAAAAAATCATTGACACAATATAAAGAAATTGTGCACATATACAATGAACAAGGAAAATTTGAATGTAATCAATTCCTTAACCATTCAATTGACTTAATTAAATCATAAACCTTCTTCAAAATGTGTAATCAAGTCCTTTAGATGAATAGTTTTTAAGATTGCCTATGTGTCACTTGACATCCTTAAATTTCACTTTTCAACATAATTTTTGGACTTAATTGCATTTTCGATAAAAGTTGAGGACTTAATTGAACCAATTGAAAGATTTAGAACTCAATTGCACTTTTAATAAAGGTTTAAGATTTGATTGAACAAATTTAAAGGTTTAGAATTTGATTGCAATCCGTGCATATGGTTTAGATTCAAGAGTTGAACTATTTTGCATTTGCAAGATTTTTCATAAACAGAAAGATTCAAGTTTTAAAGTTGAAATATGTAAGTGATAAAATAGAATTATTAATTACCTATTTGTCCGTAGATAATACACTTATAGAATAACTAATGAGGATTTTTTCGGGGAAAAAGGATGGTGAACTCTTAAAAATTGGAAGTCCTCTTATTTGATATAATAATATTCATAGAGTCAATTTTTAAATTTGGTCTCCACTTTTTAGATGACTAAAGGGATAATGACACAAATAGCCCTTAAACTTTAGCCCAATGTGCAATGTAGTTTATAAACTTTTAATTTGTTTAATGTGGTCATTGAACTTTTAATATATGTTCAAACTAGTCTCTAGACTATATGAAAATATTCAATATTGTCCCTAAACTTAAATTTATGGAATTAAAACATTGAACATTTTCATATAGTCTAAGGACTAGTTTGAACATGTATCAAAAGTTCAAGGACCGTATTGAACGAATTAAAAGTTCGGGGATCACATTGAACATTTTCATATAGTTTAGGGACTAGTTTGAACAAATACCAAAAATTCAAAGGCCACATTGAACAAATTAAAAGTTCAGGGACCATATTGCACATTTTGTCAAAGTTCATGGACCAATTATGTCGTTTTCCCATGACTGAATCATCATTATCTCAACTCGTTTCAATTAAAAAAAAAAAGTAAAGAGAACATTATATATAATAAATAACTATAATTCAGTGTCTACGAGCAGTTATATAATGAATCTCATATTTTTATGGAATACATATCTGTTAAGATGTACATATGAGTTGTCTTAGAGAAGTTCACATCGGATAATTGGTGTGGAGTGGAGGAAATAATATTATCATAATCGGTCAATAGCTCATTGGCTTAAGCTTTTGAGTGAAGGTGGATTCAACTGGATATATTAACAAGCTCAGACTTGGGTTCCCTCGTGGCAATCTACCCGGGTGAAGGTGTCGGGTTTTTGTTGCGCTCTCCCAATAAATGATATTAGTGCTGATGGTTGATTGATAGCCCACTCCCAATCTGTTTCGGTGTTTGGTGAATATCTCAAGAAAGCAATCTAACGACCAACGTAATTTTCGGGCAGTAGGTGTTGTGGTGTAGCAGTGCGACCCAATGGGCACCCACATAGTGCGTGCAAAGGAACTTATTAAGCAAGTTTAAAGATAACTTTCAACTTTTAAATGGATGGGCTTCATGAAAGTAGGATAATTAGTAATCATTCATTCCACAAAACTAGATATGATGATAATTTAAAAGGGTCAATCAAAATTATTGATTATCCTATATGCCTTTCTTAGATTCCAAATTAGAATTGATCTTCCCGTCTATCTACCTTGTTAAATCCTTTTGTCAGATATATAACTTAATCATACTCTCTCATTTTTATTCATGTATTTTCTACTTTTTGCGCTCACCGCGTGTATCTTTAAGAGTACTAAATAACAGAGCCGATTTCCTCTAACAATGAGCCCGTGTCATGCATGCACTTCTGATCATTTACATGTTTAATCTTACTCCTGGTATGGTTCGTCGATCGTTGTTGCAGCGGAAGCGAAAACTCATTTTTCATAATTAGATCTTTAATTTAGAATGAAAACCCACGACAACAGTTGCCGTGTTAAGTCAAAATCTGTTTTTTTTTTTTTTACAACAATTATCGAGAAACAAGGATCGATCATAATCCATATGTTTTTGTTCAGAATTTGAATAAAAGGTTTATCTTCGCAAAGACTACTCAAGTGCTTCATCTCTTATCGAGTCCGAGGCTTCCTCTACTCTAGATTTGAGAGAGTAATTCTGATTTCTGATGGTTGATCCTTAAGCCTACGCTGGCGGCACATAGTCTTTATAGTTTTTAACCTTTTTGGCTCTTAGCTAATGTACATTACAGAGAGAGTAGCGAGATAACTCGCATTTCTCTTCTTTTGCTTAAACGTAACCCTAGAACCGAAAGGAATTATTCATGTAACTTCTTGAAAACCCTAAGAGAAGGCTAGTTCGTGGGATCCCGAGGGGTCTGTTTCGACAACCGTAGGAACTAAAGTGACAAAACCAAATATTTTGAGATCGTGGAATCGGTAATCACAGCAAGATGCTTAGCTTCTTCTTCATAACTACTCCTGCAGGAAGAAATCTCTTTTGTTTCTTTCCGGGAATCATTTGTCTGCTTATCATACTGCCCGACTTTTCTAGGAAACTTTTTCCTATTATGTTCTTCATTAGTTTCTAAATAACATTTAAAAAATTAGCCAACTTCTACAAATTGTAGTAATGTCCATCAACACATTGCAATTGACCCTTGAGGAAAAAAGGATTATATTGATCTTTCTTTTTCTTAGACTTAGAATTCACAAGCATGTTTACTCTCACGACACCAGGTCAGAGTATTTATCAGTTTATTGCTTGGATGCAGCCATACAGTAAAGAGAAAAAGATCACAAAATTTTTCCGAACGACGAGTCCAACACAGATCACAAAGTATTATACCTACTAAATATTCAAAGTAGTTGTCGGACACCGTTATTGTGCGTTTATTATCATTGAATAAAAGGGATAACGACATTTGTAGTTCCTGAGCTTTTGCTCGATGTACACTCCTTCTATGATTTACTCCTAAGTCGATTTTGTTGAAGTGAAAGATCGGAACGGTGAATTGGACAGCAGAATGCTTAATGAGCGGGACAATGATTATGTCAGTCAATTTGTTTGATCTATTTTTCAAACTTATCAATCTTATCAATCTTGTCAACCTTACCCAACCATGGACTAACACACTTCAGAGCAGCGGTCATCGGAGGGTCATCGTCTGAGAGTAATGCTCGATGCAATTTGCTTGCATGAGAAAGGCGACCAGACCTGCACTATCGCTCTCTCAATCAATCAAACAATCCGACCATTGCGAGGTAGCCGCTTGGGTAATGTGAGATGGTTGCTGCCGTGGTCATGCAATCACCCCCCAATCTTGGTCAGTGAATGAACAACGTCCACAATGGTATTCTCCTAAGACAACGATGGTATTCCTTCACTGGTGCAATTTCTTTTTGGTATTTCCTTAAGACTGAGGAAATTAAATCAAAAGCTAAAGATTTTGGTGCTCCCTCAAAACTAAATTGAGACGGTGAATTCATCCAACCAAACACGTCGGTAGTGGAAAACATTTAGTCTGATTAGACATAATTTTGCCTTGTGAAAAAAATCAAGTTTAGGTGTTTGACTTGGACTCGAGTTTTAGACCAAGCATGAACACAAGTGTGTATAAATTTGGCCTCCTACTCGGAAGTACTTCAAACACAGTACAGCGAATATGACTGCGAAACAAAGGAATTTGCCTTTCCTCTTGACTTTCTTCTACTTCTTTTCCATATGTCCAGCTAAACTTGTACTTGCCTTGTCAAATGAGACAGATCACCGTGCATTGCTAGCATTCAAACACGGGATAAAGGAGGATCCCCACCATGTAACAAGCTCATGGAACAATTCCATCCCCTTTTGTGACTGGCGCGGTGTTACGTGTAGCAATCGGCATCAGAGAGTCGTCTCACTCAATCTCTCGTCACTTCAACTGGCAGGCTCACTGTCTTCTCAGGTAGGAAATCTCTCTTTTCTCCGAACCCTTGACCTTGACTGCAACCACTTTTATGGGAGACTACCTGAAGAGATCAGCCTCTTATTTAGACTTGAGACTCTTACACTAGCAAACAATTCCTTTCAAGGACAACTGCCCACAAATCTCACTAATAGTGCACGTCTTTTGACTCTTAATCTAGAAGGGAACAACTTTACAGGATCAATCCCCGATGCACTTGGTTATCTTCCAAAGCTAACTATAATAAGCCTATCTGCAAATCGACTTACAGGGAAAATTCCACCTTCACTTGGGAATCTCTCACTTTCTCACCTTTATATAGCCAATAATCAAATAGAAGGAAGCATACCCCAAGAACTTGCCCGCCTCTCCAACTTGCAATTCCTCCATCTTTCACAAAATAATCTTTCCGGTGCAATTCCTGCTTCCCTGTATAATATATCATCCATCAAAGTCTTGGCTGTGGCAGGGAATAATCTAACCGGGTTTCTTCCTTCTAGTTTATTTCTCACTCTGCCCAAACTTGAGAAACTGTATCTTGGAGGTAATCAATTTGTTGGGCTGATTCCCGAAACGATAACAAATGCTTCCGCACTGGTGCGAGTAGACTTTTGCCTAAATTTCCTTTCCGGGTCAATACCGAAAAAATTGGGAGGCCTACATAACTTGGAGCTTCTAAACTTTGGTGGAAATGTTCTAGGAACAGAAGAAGGCAACGATCTTACTTTTCTTGATTCCTTGAGCAACTGCACCAATTTAAGAGAAGTCTTTGTGCCTCTAAATCTCCTGAAAGGTGTTATACCAGCTTCATTAGGGAACTTCTCCACCACGCTCACGACCCTCTGGCTCGACAGAAATTTGCTACATGGATCCATTCCTTCAAACATAGTAAACCTAGTGAATTTGGAGATTCTTTCGTTGTTTGAGAATAAGCTTTCAGGGAGTATTCCCCGCTCCATTGGAGAGCTCTCCAAACTGCAAGTGCTTCGGCTTTATCATAATATCCTCTCTGGTATAATTCCATCAACAATTGGCAACGCGACATCACTCAACATCCTCTTGTTATCAGATAATATGCTAGAGGGGAGCATACCGGATTCAACAGGCAACTTCACGAGTTTGAAGGAGCTTGACTTGTCCCGGAATAACCTCGCTGGTGCAGTGCCTGATCAAGTTTGGGGTCTCACTTCCCTCTCCATAGGACTATTCCTAGCAGGTAATGCATTGACTGGATCAATACCATCACAGGTGGGTGAGATTGTGAATCTTGCAGAACTCGATGTCTCCGATAATAGTTTGTCCGGAGAAATTCCGACCACTTTGGGCAACTGTCTAGTGTTGCAATTTCTCAGACTGGAAGGTAACCACTTCAATGGGGTCATTCCTTTGTCACTGAAAAACTTGAAAGGAATCGAAGTTCTCGACCTTTCCAGGAACAATCTCTCGGGTCAAATTCCCGAGTTCTTCTTAGAGCTCCCTTTTATTCAGAATCTAAATCTTTCCTTCAATATGTTTGATGGTGAAGTACCAAGAGGAACTTCCGGTAACCTCAGTGCAATTTCGGTTGAGGGAAACAACAAACTTTGTGGAGGATTTCTGGAGCTGCACTTGCCACCATGTCGTAATACAAAGAATCAACGAGGGTTTCCACCTCTGAAGACAATACTAACAATTAGTATACCCCTCTTAGCCTTGGCATTTGCATCTGTTTCCGTCATTCTCTTGTGGGTAAGGAAGTCACGAGAGGAAAAAGCTCCATCGTCCACCTTAGAACATCAGCATCCGAAACTTTCTTACCACGAACTCCATAAAGCAACAAATGGATTTTCCTCAGTAAACTTAATTGGTGAAGGAAGCTTTGGTGCCGTCTTTAAAGGGATGCTCTCAAGAAACAACAAAGTTGTAGCCATAAAAGTTGTCAAACTCCGTGAACATGGAGCCAGGAAGAGCTTCATGGCCGAATGTGAAGCATTGAGACACATCAGGCATCGAAATCTTGCCAAGATCATCACTTCATGCTCGAGCATAGACTTTAGAGGGAACGATTTTGGAGCTTTAGTGTTCGAGTTCATGCCAAATGGGAGCCTGGATAAATGGTTACACCCAACAGGGGAATGCGTGATGCTGAATATAGTCCAACGCTTGCACATCGCGATTGATGTGGCAGTGGCACTGGATTATCTTCACCACCAGTGCCATGTACAGATTGTACATTGTGACTTGAAGCCAAGCAATGTCCTTCTCGATGATGACATGCATGCACTTGTAAGTGATTTTGGCCTGGCAAAGTTTCTCATGGCAAGAGCCTCTCAAGCAGAAAGCAGCTCGATTGGCTTGAGAGGCACCATTGGTTATGTTGCTCCAGGTAACACGACTTATATCTATTCTCTAATTTCCTCTGCAATGTCTATGAATATTGAATAAACTTTTCTGTTGGATAAAGGTGAATATTCTCCACCGATTCCTTCGTTTCCAAAAGGTCGCACATTGCATTTTTAATCTTTCTTTTCCTCATAATTAGGGTATTTTCTCTCATCGAATATACGCGTTTTCAGGCAAACTCCTCGTGTATATGATTTAAGAGCTGACTAGTTTTGGGATGGGACTTTTGTGTACGTTGCAGAGTACGGTCTTACTAGAGAAGTATCGACTCAAGGTGATGTCTACAGCTATGGAATTCTCTTACTCGAATTGTTCACTGGAAAAAGACCCACAGAGAGCATGTTTGCAAGCAACTTTAAACTCCATGATTTTGTTGAAATGGCCCTTCCGGATAGGCCCATGAAAGTAATAGATCCCTCACTCAATCTGGAGGAAGAGGGCAACTCGGACAACAATGGGCAATGTGTAAACACAGGCAACATTAGAACGTGCTTGGCAATGATCCTTCAAGTTGGGGTCGTCTGTTCTGCCGCATCACCACGTGAAAGAATGGACATTGGTGACGTTATCACCGAACTGTATAAGGCAAAGAGTATCCTCTTGGAGACAAGGTTGAGCTAGTGACAGACAAGATAAGAGTCAAATGATACAGCATGGTTCGATTTGGTTGATTGCAAACTGAGATAAAATATGTCTTAACTGTATTTGCGTACGGCTTGTCTTCGTTTTTCGTTCAGAAATTGGGATGCTTCGACTAAATGCTGTAAAATAATTACTTTAAGCTTTTTAGATTGCAGACTAAGGTTGCTCCGGAACATTTTATTTACCTCGGTGAAATGCATAAGGTGGTGACTTAAAGCTCTTCTGTTTTTTCTTGTATCTGATCCTTACTTTGAGATGTAATAATCTTTCTTCACTGTAACGTTCGCAATTTCACTTGAAATTTCCACTAAGCCAAAAGAACAAAATAAATAAATAAATGAAGAACGGCAACCGCAACTGCAACTTCTTTCAGTAAGAGCAACCACACACTTCCGACGTGAACTTCAAATTCTGGAAGCTACATTGTTACTTTAGTTGTTGTACCATTCCCCAGGATATAGAAGTTAAATGGGACCAGACTTGTAGCACCTAAGTAAAGGTGATTGTTTGGCTAGACTGTCATTATTATCATTCCATTACATAAAATACTCTCTCCACCAGAAAGCCATCTTCATTATTCTTAGCAAGAAAGTTAAAACCACTCATCTTTTCATTTTAAAGTAGGATCATGATGAATGTCTCTCCTTCTCCTTGTGCCTAATCTTTGACGAAATGCATTTGTATGGTGAATATCGCCTAATTATAATTAATATTAAATAGTTAAATCCCTCATCGATTATCTAATGTGAGCCTCGAAGTTTTTAACACCTTCACCTTTGTACCTTAAGTGAGATTTTGGTCAGATTCAAGAGTCGGACATTTTAGAGACCTACTGTGGGGAGTTTGACATTTTTTATTGTGGGTAGACTTCAGTATTTGAATTAGTATTCATGGACGGGTTCAAGAGTTGGACATGGCAGCTCTCTCCCCGAGGATCGGGGGGCTTAAGATGCAGGACTGTAGCTGGAAAAGGCTTTTAAAATATTTTTTATTGAAAAAGCTCTAGATTTAAGAAAATAAGAAATGAAGTCGTTACCAATGAGTTTTAAGAGAAAGCTAGATTGATCGGACATTTAGGTGGATGTGTGAAGCATAGGTCATTTGTGACAACCAGAGAACTTGGGGTTTGGGGATTTGGTTATGCGTGGGGAAGGGTTAGCATCCCAACAATATCCTTTGGGTACCATATTTTTCAATTAGGTCGTCTGAATGCAATTATCAAATAATTTCCTAAAATATATATGCGCTTTTTTATTTTTCAGGAGACATAATCAGAAATTCCTTTGTCATGACTTGCAAAAATATGCACAAGCCCTAATTTGGGATGTGTATGCCTATGCAATTAACTAAATGACATATTAATTAATGATGCATGCTTAATTTGGAAGCTCACAAGAGCCATGTTATTACTTAGCATTTCAAACAAGGGTATTCTTGTCCTTTTGACCATATATAATACTGGTTTTGAAAGCTGAAAATACGTTTGATGCGTGATGGGAATGAAGGAATAAGAAATTCGTTTTCTAGACTAGTGTCTAAAGGATAGAGTGTATGGATAAGTGTTTGCTAGGATGTATATGAAGGAATGTGTTGTTGCTTTCTATTAAAATGGGAACTTGATGGAATTGTTGAATTAAGGCTAAATGGAGGTGTATTATGAATGAAATTGAAGTTGGGATAGATGAAGCTCACTACCAAGGCCTAAAGGAACAATCCACTAGTCAAGGATAAAGAATTATACTCACCACCATACAAATGGATAGAACCAGAAATTGCTCGCTTCAAGAGGAAATTTCATGTATTGCAAATTAGCTTTGCCTTCCATACGAAATTACATCTCTATTTATAACTAAACTAAGACATTGTACTAAGACGTTGATAATAAATATCATCACACTCTACATTCTAACATTTCAGCCTAGTAATGAAGACTAGCTGATATTCTTGCAATAAAGACTCTTTAATGTAAGAAGACAACTTAACATACTAAAGCATTACAGACACAAGAAGACAAACTAAGTACTCTATCTTTTTACACTTCAGCTTAGTAACGAAGGCTAGCTCCTAGTCTTTCAAGCCTTCCAAACTTGCAATAAAGACTCTTTCATGTAAGAAGACAAATTGAGCACATTAAAGCATTAAAGACACACGAAGACAAATTGAGCACACTAAATAAGGGGAACATATTAATTGCCTCTTCAACCTTGCATTTGAGCCACTAAGGGTGCGCATGGAATACATTCCGGAATAAAAATTCTGTTCCGGAATGTATTCAGGAACAGAATGGCGTTTGTTAAAAAATTTCCGGAATGCATTCTGGAGCGATTTTTGCATTCTGGAATAAAAATGCGTTTGTTAAAAATATTTGATTCCAGAATGCATTCTTGATTCCAGAATGAGTTTTTGGCAAGAAAAAGAGAAGCTACTTTTTGTAGCTTCTTGATTCCGGAATGCATTCTCCCTATTTTCTCATAATTTTTTTTTTCAGAAAATGCATAAAAATTGAAAAATTCTAGAAAAATTCATAAAAATTTCCAGAAAATAAAAAAAAAGTCAGATTTCGGGAAAATATGAAATTTGGTGAATTTTTTTTAAAAAAATAAAAAAAAATCAAAAATTTCAAAACTTCACAGAATAGCTTAAAACACATGTGGCCACCCACTTTGAGTGAAATTTAAATTTTTTGAGGTACCCAAAAAAAATCAAAAATTTCAAAACTTCACAAAATGGCTTAAAATACATGTGGCCACCTACTTTGAGTGAAATTTAAATTTTTTGAGGTGCCAAAAAAAAAAGAAAAAAAAAATTCAAAACTTTACAAAATGGCTTAAAATACTTGTGGCCACCCACTTTGAGTGAAATTTAAATTTTTTGAGGTGCCCAAAAAAATAAAAATAAATAAATAATTTCAAAACTTCACAGAATGGCTTAGAATATCTGTAGCCACCCACTTTGAGTAAAATTTAAATTTTTTGAGGTGTCCAAAAAAATAAAAAAAAAATTCAAAACTTCACAAAATGACTTAGAATACCTGTGGCCACCCACTTTGAGTGAAATTTAAATTTTTTTAGGTGCCAAAAAAAATTAAAAAAAAATCAAAAATTTCAAAACTTTACAGAATGGCTTATAATACATGTGGCCACCCACTTTGAGTAAAATTTAAATTTTTTTAGGTACAAAAAAAATTAACAAATCAAAACAGATTTCTGTTCCAGAAATTGATTTCTGGAGCAGAATTAGTCATGGTTTACCAAACAGATTTCTTCTCCAGAAATCAATTTCTGGCAAGAATTCCAGAAATCAATTTCTGGCAAGAATTTGATTTCTGGAGCAGAATGGTTACCATTCGCACCCTAATCATCAGCAAATGCTATCTTGAGTGCCCTGGACCCATTGGACCATGTTGAGGACAAATTTGCTATTGCTTCTATTATTGACAAATTGGCTTGATTAGTTGATGAAGCTTGAGTTAGAATAGCAATGTACTCTTGGAAGATTTAAGTTATGATGCTCCCGTATCACTTTTAGGGAAATTAGTTATAGTTTTTTTAATTATTTGGGAATATCATGGCATGCGGATTAACGAGCATTTGAAAAATATGCAATTTCCTAGGTTTATTTTTGTAACAACCATAAAAAACATATTTTATCATTTTTCAAAGGTTAACTTTTGCATGACGATGGCCTATTATTCAATAAAAGCCTAATTTTGAAGCCAACAGAGTAATGACTACATTAGTATAGCATTATGACTATCAATTTTATTTTCGGGGTTTAGAGTCCGTACCTGGTGTCATGCCAATTTGCTCCAATCCATACCTGCTCGGGATCACCAAATTGTTCAAGCTTGACCGACATTGAAATTTCCCCACACAATAAGATCATAATGCTTAGAACCAAGAATTTGAGAGAATGTAATTGAAACAGAGAGCTCGAGAATAATTTATTTAAAGAAAAATGAGCAAATGAAACTTCTATTCTTAGGAAAATTTTTGGGATCAAGGGAAACCTAATGCAAGGTTAATACTACCTTGCAAAGGGCTCAAATGACCTTTCGTAAGCCCAGCAGGGACTTGTGCAAAGCCTAGTTAGCACAGCGCCAGGCCACCCCTAAGATTGCCACACAGGTTGGCAGGTGCCAATTAGTGGCAATCAATCAATTATTTTTTTAAAAATTTTTGAAAGATTTTATTTGTGTATTTCTTTTATTTAAATTTGACCAAACTTTGTTCACACATAATTTTTCCGTCCAACATATGATTGACCTGATTTTTGTGCACATAAAAAGCCCACAAGTTGAGTTTTCCAAATGTATGGTTTGATTTTTAGGAAAGTGTCGGAATCACTAATTTTGAGAATTGGGTCGACTGAACGGCCAAGGTGAAAAGTTATAATATTCTATTCGTTGCCAATCTGATCACCGTGATTCTTATGACTTCGGAAAGCTTATAACTTGATTTATAAGGTGAAATGAATTGATTATGTCAAATCTTAGAATTCCCAATACTTCATGATCAAACAACCGTAATTTTATTTTATTTTTTGGTTAAAGGATGACCATAATTAAAAGATACGATATTTGAGGATCCGATTGTTTAATTTTGACGAAGAGGGTATCATTAGAAAGTTCTTGATGAGCACGATCTAATTGTACCCTTCGATTGAACTTTTAATGAAATAATATTTTCGATCAACTTTGATCAAATCCTTGGTAAAAGATTTGGTGTCTATAACTGCTCTTCTTTGTGATAATGCTCGATAAGAGTTTTAATACAATGACAAAGAGATTCCTAATTTTTGTGGCGCTGAAATTGTACACCATTGCCACCACCAAACTCGACATCTTACCACCAAACATCACCATGAACATCACCAACCACCATGACCGATTCTAGTTACCTCCATTGGCGAAGCAAGAAGCATTAAACTTCGGGAACGCAGAGCTAAAAGGAGCCTTGTAGCCGAATATGAAGCATTGA